AACAAAAAAAATTAACTTGCGAGCTATCGAACTACTATAATTGGGTTCGAGCTTGAGCTCGTCCGAAACCCGAACTCGAACTCGATGTCGAACCCGAACTCGTTCAAAGTTCGAACTCGTATGAAGCTCGAACTCGACCTCGAAAAACCCGAGCTCGAGTTTGAGCCTTTGTAACACCCCTAGTTAGGGATATTATAAGCTATTTTTTAGAGGTCGCGGCTAGTCACAATACTAATTTCAATAAGTGTAAGACCAAATTGAAGAAAATTCCTAAAAAAAATTATTTTATTAAGATGAAATGACAAATATACCCATAAGTTAAATTATCTTTTGTTCGTTCATACAAGACCAAATAACAAATAATTTGTAAAACAAAAATAAAAAGAAAAAATAAAATTAAACCAACCCTACCCCTCACCCCACTCGTGAAACCCTTCCCCATCCCCACAACTGCCGCCGCAACGCCTTTCAAGCACCATCATCGCCGCAAGCTCGTCGTCCGACCGCAACCGCTCACTGTACAACTGTGAGCGACCTAAACTCGCCCAACAACGACCCAAACCTAATCCATTGTTAATTTTATATTTTATTCAATCTTCAAAAAAAAAAAAGAGGAAAAAAAGTTAAATTTGAAATTAATTATAAGTGACACCAAGATGTCGAAAAACTATGCTTCAAATCGACATCTTAAGCGTCGAAAAAAAAAACTAGAAATCGACGTCAATGATATGTTGAATTTTGCTGGCACAAATCGACATTACAGTGTCGAATTTGTAGCACCGAATTCGACATATTCACAGGTTGAATCTGTAGCACCAAATTCGACATATCCAAAATGTCGAATTTTATGCTACAAATTCGACTGTGTCATGTCGATTTTCAGCTTTAAAATTCGACCTATATATGTCGACCGCATCTGCGCGTTTTTTTTCTCTCTCGAAAAACGATATCCTAGTTAAAAAACTCATAAATGCATAGTTACCTGGGTTCTTCCACCGTAAAATCTTCCATTTTAATGTCTTCCGACTCCAGACTTGCCATGTTTGTACGATTTATTGAGGTTTGAGGGTTTTGAATGTTTAGGTTTTGTGGGTTTATGGAGGAGAAATGAGAAAAATTTTGGTGGGTTTTGAAAGATGAACAAGATGGGACTTTGGTCTTATGGTTTTTGAATTTTGGTATTATATTATTTTGATTTTTCTAATTTTTTTACAAGTAAGGGTATTTTTTTAACAAGTAAGATTTGAGTTTTTGGTATTGTATTTAAAAAAATTAATTTGGTCTTACACTTATTTAAATTAGGATTGCAAATAGTTGCGACCATTTTTAAAAAGTACATACACCCCACTTTTTTATTTTAGATCTTATTTGATTGTATACTAAAAGACTCGAATTATAAAATTACGTTCAAATACTTTATTATGTGGGCACTTTACAAATAAGTCTATCAATTGGTACTTATTCATAAAAAGTGACACACAATAAACTCTTTTACAAAAAGTCAACACATGGTCCAGATATTTGTAAAAGACTAAAATAGCCCCTCATATTTTAATATGCTCAAATTTCATCATTTAATTTAATTTAACCTCAATTTGACTCCAAATTTTACAAATTATTCAATTTTGATCCAAAACACAATTTTATGGAAAATTTAGTCCGGTTTCCGGTGTTGACTTTTTCGATTTGTTTTCTCTTTAACATTTTTTCCCTCGTTTAAACATCAATAATGATGTGGTGGACAGCAATATTAACATTATTACTATTAAACACAGTAAAATTTACTATACTACAGTTTAACACAGTAATATTGCTATATTAATCTCTAGCACAATAATATTAACACAACAAAAGCCATTATTATTGTGTAATAGAGTAATATGATGTTGATCGTTCAACAAAGGTAAACATAATAAAAATCCAAAAGAAGTAATATTATTGTGGTTGACAGTAATATTACTATAACAACAATAATATTACCATCGACCACAGTAATATTATTGTGTTTACATTAATATTACAAAAAACCCCCCAAAAAAAAATAATATTGATGTGGTTGACAATATTATTGTGTTACGGTTATTTTACTAGCAATGATAGTAATATAATTACGTTGACTTGTCAACAAATCAAAAAACAAATAAAAAAAAATAACAAAAAAAATAATATTGTCCTTGACTCTAACTGTACTGTCAACGGCAATACAATTACATAAGTGTATTGTCAACGGTAGTACAATTACGTTTACGTACTGTCGGTGACGGTATAATTACGTTAAATTACTATCAGTGACAGTATAATTACCGTTAATGACTGCACAATTACGGTCAACGTTTAACGGCGGGCGTAAAAAAAATCGAAAAGTTAACGTCGGAGACCAACATTGGCAAAAAAATAATTTTTGAAAAAAAAAAGTTTTAAAAAAAGGTCAAAATTAATTAAATTTGGAGTTACAATTAAAAATTTGGTGTAAAGGGTTGGGGCGATTTTGTTATATAGATGATTTTTTCCTTTATGTAATAAATATTAAATGGATGAGCTATTGAGGAAAAAGATATAACCCCTAAACCTAAAATAATAAAGATAGTTGGTTATGGACTTATAGACAAAAACTCCTAACAAAAACTCCTAAAAAATAGATTTATCAAAAAGTCAAAATTTAATGAGAGGGGTTTGTCATATAGCCCAAATTAAGATGATATTTGAAGAGAAGCGTACCCAAAATATTTAAATAAAATCATAGCCTACATTTTTGTTTGTATTTTCAATGTTCAAACATTAAATTAAAATAATTCAATTGCTTAGTCTATAGCAGCATCCTCGAAAATCTTTTAAGTTTTTAAGGGATCAGGTCGAAAATCTTTTAAATTTAAGGGATCAGAAAATTTAGGATCTCACAAATAATTAAAACTTATCACTTCATAATAATTAGCTACAATTAAAACACTTCAAAATTATATATTTTAAGTGGTTTAATTATTTATTGTCTTGCCCTCATATGAATGATTAAATCGCGTTGAACCTTACGATTAGCTTGTGCCGATTCTATTGCGTGACGACACATCATATAATCACTTATTTTTATGCTGCTTGTTCTAGAATTTAAATTTAGTTGCTAATGTTGAAGTTAATTAATATTGAGTGAGCTAATTAAACGAAAATTCGACGACCCACCGGTGCAAAAAAAAAAAAAAAAAGATGTCTATCAATGATAAAGTTAACTAATGTTGAGTCACCCAATCAGAGCTCCAACGACCCACCATCGAAAGAGAGAGAGAGAGAGAGAGAGAGAGAGAGAGAGAGATTGAATGTCAAATGTCAACTAATGTTGAAGTTAACTAATGTTGAGTCAGCTAACCAGAGCTCCAACAGTCCGCAGTCGGATAAAAAAATTAATTATTTTTTTCAAACAAAAAACAATTAACCGGGTCGGACCGGCCTGGTGGGTGGGATGGGATGCGGTGGATTGGGCTTATCTCAAATAGAAATATGTAGGGTTATTTTCGAAATTCATGTTTTTGTGGGTTATTTGAAATAAAAGTTAGGGTGTGTTGATTTGTAGTAAAACTTCATTATATGGGCCTACCTCAAATTCACAAATATTATTATTTAGGGCGAATGACAAAAAGGCCCATCACATGGGACTTAAATGCATTTTGGTCAAAAAAAAAAAAAAGTCTCTCAATTAAACTTATCCCAGGTCTTAAGGCTAAAATACCCTCCATAATATAATTCTTATATAAAAACCCATTATGCTCTAACTTCCTTAATATTACACATTGACCCCGGATTTAAATAAATATATCACATTAACCCCCCAAATTTTTTTTTTCAGAAAATAATATTTTTTCTGAAATATTTTTTTTCCAGCCAGATTGCAGCGTTGACTTATTAATTTTTTTATTTTTTTTTTGAAAACTTTTTTTTTTCCTGAATTTGTTTTCCGGCCGGTCAACCACCGTTGATCGCCGGTCTCCGACGTTGACTTTTTTTCTTTTTTTCAATTTTTTTTCCTTAGAAAAAAAATATTTTAATTAATATTACTGTCTTGGCTACTAAATTACTGTCTCAGACAGTAATATTATGAATATTATTTTCCCGAACAGTAATATTATTAATATTATTGTCTAAGACAGTTAAATTACTGTTGGAGCGTAATTTTATAATTCGTGTTTTTTAGTATACAATCAAATAAGATTTAAAATAAAAAAGTGGGGTGTATGTACTTTTTAAAAATGGTCGCAACTATTTGCAATCCTAATGTTCAGGCTCAAATTTCTTTGGAAAAAGCACACATAGATTTTGCTGGTGGACGCAAAGGTAGGTGCTTACGGAATAGTTAGATGGATTGATAATGTTAAGTGTAACAGACAATAGTGTGGAATGCTATCTTTTTCAAAGTGTAGAAATTGACTGATGAACCAAAATTATCAATTATGTGATGTTGATGTGGCGGTGAATATTTTACGTATTCCAACACTTACTAGTAAGAGTTCGTCAATTGATATACGCCGATCATTGTACATATTGCCATATTACTAGAAAATGAATATTTTGTGACGCCTAAATGACGCCCTAATATGACGCTCTCTAAAAACCGTCGCATCAACTATAATATGAAGACGGCTAAAACTTGAATCGGGTCATTAGCTGAATATTACCTTTTATTTTATTTATTTTTATTATTGGAATATAATAAAAATGGACGCTTTCTAAGAAACTGTCGTAATAGGGTGCTTATATTGAGACGAGGTTTATACATGAAATAATAATAAGTAAAAAAATCATAAAAAAATGAAAATTCCTCTTCCCATCGAAATATTTGGCGGCAGAAATCACACAGCCCATTATCTCCAGTTTTCTACAAACTCTTTTGTTTTCTCCTTTCCCCAATTTACAATTCCTCATCAATACTACCCTAATTGACAATTCGTCTTCTAATACGAGTTTTTCTTCAATTCCTTAACAAATCATCATTTGGTTATTGGAGCAAGTTGGAGCAAGGTGAGTCCCAATTATTTAGAATAAGACTTTGGTTGTTCTTTGTATACAAGTTGATGTATAATCAACCCATAATTATGTATGTTGCTCAAATTAGGCACAAAAATTAGAAAACTTTGATTTTTGGTGGGATTGTTTTCGGCAGGCAGAAGCATTAATGGTGGTAAGACCTCTCTCTCTCTCTCTCTCTCTCTCTCTCTGGCACACACAAAATATTGTTATTTTTTAGCCCCTTCTACATAATTTTCCAGACCATTGTTTCGATTGGATAATTGGTTGAACTAATTTCTGATGAATTTCTAAGTTCAAGTGTTTATATTGGTGCTTTTTTTTTCTACAACTCTTTATGTATTTAAATGAGTAGCTATATTTTTTTTTAGATATATTTATAAAGTTTCTGTAGATACTTTTAGTTACAGTTAAGATACCATTGTTTGTGTGTTCTGTTACAATTAAACATATGTACTATTTAAATTCCTATTAAAAATTAAATTTGGTAGTATATTATATATGAGTAAAATAAGTGCCGGTTAATTTGTCAAGTTCTACTACTATGTTACATGTATTTTTCTGAAAATTTAATAAAGGAAAAAAGAACTCCGAGAAGAGTTCTGAACTGGTCCTCTTGAGCTCTAGTAATCCTCAACATATAAGAAATGTAAGAAATAATTTGTCTGAACTATATGACTGTTGTTATTGGTGTATGTAGTTGGAACCACCTTGAAGAATAATACTTTTAGTATAAATTTATGTTTGTAAAGCCAATAAATTAAAAATTTATGCTTCTCACCTCAATCCTTCTTCATCAGTTTCTAACCGGAGCTTAAAGTCCCACAAGCGAAAGGACAGGTGGAAAAAGGTAATTTAGCCCACCATTATTATTTTTAAATTGAATTCAATTGAACATATGTACAGTTGATTTGATTATTTGTTGTCCATAATGTTTATATTCTAGATTTTTCAATACGACGTTTTTCTTTAATTATTTGTGCAATTGGCTGCTTAAAAAAAAGAGGTACATGGCCATGAAATCAGATGCTATAAATGAAATATAAATACTTTTTTTTTAAATGCAGCGGATTACAGCCTTTGCGAAAAAAAATGTGTTAACATCAACGCTAACTATTCGGGCACCATCACCACATATATTACGGTAATTACAGAAGCTTTTGGTGAATTCAGATGATAATTCACAAAAAACTTTGTGAAACTTGAATCGAACTATTTGTTAATTGTTAGTTTCTTCGCTGCTGATGGAACGACAATATAATAATCATAATCAACATTTGTCTCAGATTTGGTTCGTGGTGTTCATAATATCTTTGGCCTAGATCAGACGCGTGTTGTTCATAATTTCTTTGGCCAGTGTGCTTTGGAGACACTTGTATGCATGTTTGCACTGAGGAAATAGACTAGCCTGAAACAAAAAGGCATGTGCATGGTATGCAGCGATGAAATATTTGAACGTGCACTGCACGAAAAGATTGGTGATCCTGCAGTCAATTTTCTCGAAAATTGTTGGTCAATTTGCCAACATAGAGACCGAGTTTAAATTTAATACTTGTTCAGCAAAAATTGCTTCTTCTGTTGTTGATCACAATTCTGTTCATCTCTCCATTTATTTTTAAGTAGTTGAGTCAAAGACTCTTTCTCTCATCACTACACTACATTATATAAATTGCGATTTCGTTGCCTGTCTTCGTCTTCCTTTGCAATGAAGTTATATCTTTTGTAGTTCTCATTTTCCTTTTTCGATGTTCTTTTTTCTATTGTTTTTTCTTATTACCTCTGTAATTATGTTGGACATAAAGGTTACAAAGGAGGTGCTGCGTAAATGAGCGTATGCGGAAAGTATCATTGTTGGTTATTTTCATACATCATATTTGTAGGAGTAAAGAGCAGATGACTCTCTCTCTCTCTCTCTCTCTCTCAATATTTCTTATTATTTTTATTTGTATATAGAATGCATTATGGGGGGTGATGATTGGTGTATGTACAGATGGACTTTGCAGATATGAGGCGCATTCATGGGATAACAGTTGTAGAAGAGAGGGACAAATACGTAAAGAAAGCCAATGTATGAATTTTTTTGGTTTCGAATCTTCTCTACATTCGGACACTCTCTGTACAAGTTATTTATTATGCTGTTAGCTTGTTGCCAATGTTCTTTTTAATCTTCGTCTTGAAAAATACAATTACTTGCTCATTTTCTTACTCTACCTTAGTGTTCTCTCTTCAATAGGCTGTTGTGATTCAGCTCGGACTTGCTATTGACAGTAGCAAGGCAACACTAGATGTGAAAACAAGACTTGCCTGTGAGATGGTTAAATACTGGCAGTAGGTATTATAGAGAACTTATTCAAGCTATGAGACTAGCAGTTTCAAAACTTAAAAATAACAAAAAAAAATTTATTTTCATAATTACAATTTGGCCAACCAGGTTATCAAGTTCTCTAAAATTGTTAGTTCTCCAAAATTTCTTGCATTCCTGACATTTCTTAGCTCCCCAATTTCTTTGTTCTATTTCCTTGCTTTAATTTTTTGTTTCTAATTTGATGGAACAGTTGGGGCTGCAGTAAATTTCAGTAGAAAAGGATGGAGGCTTGGGGATTCATTTTGCAGTTGATGGTGATCGCCGAACGGCGGAGATAAACGATGCATATTTCCATTTACAGACTTACAAATTGGGTATAACTTTCCCTTTTATGTAAATATATTTGGGATGATTTCATTTTGTGGTGCAGAGAAAAAAAATATTTATATGTACAATTTTCCCAAAATTTGAGCTATTTCAACTGAGAATTTTGTTGCTTTTGGCCATAATCCCCATAGGCGACGTCTGATCTTCAGTAATTATTTGCCTATGTTTTTTCTCTTGCTATAGCAAAATTATTACTTGGATGTACCTAGTTGTGGGTTCTTGTTATTTTTTCATTATAGATGGATTCCATATAATAAAAAACCGTGTCATTCGTATTTTTGGGTGATTATTAACTGTAATAAGAAAAAAATGGTTGGGCTGCATCGATATTAAATTGGCCGGATATCTAATCTTTCAAAGACTTATTAATAGTTTTATGCTTTAATAACCTCTAAGAATGCAATACTTTTGCAACTATTAATAGTTCTATGCTTTAATAGCCTGGTGGTCTTAATAAAGGGTAAACCGTTTGTTTTATCACAAGCTGTAAAACATTTAGTGATGAGAATAATTGGTACCTTTTACTTATCTATTTCCCTAAAAGCTTACCTCTTTTCATTTCTTCTCTTACATATTTTTTCTTTGGAAACTTCAAAACTACACATTGTGATAGTTACTGTACTTTTACCTCTACTTTTAATGAATGAATCTTTTGGTATATGGAAACTTATTTCATTGGTTATTGCAGTTCTACAGTTCGAATTCACATCTTGCAGGGTACAATTAATCATCAACGATATTGAAATACAAGAATTAGAGCATGGAAGGAGGAGAACGAAAATTTGTGTAAGGGTGTCCTGCGGTTCTTCTATGACGTGTTATCTCTGGAGGAATTGTATAAATGATTACATCTTTGAATTTTTAGGTGTATTACGTAATTTTTCGGTATATTCCTTTTTTGTTCGTTAATTGCAGCCTATTTGTAAATTTGTTAAATTTCAATTCTTGTGATTTATGAGCCTCGAAATTTTTTCTTTATATTCTTTTATGTTCATTAACTTTACCTTTGTTTGAGTACTTTATTGAATTCGAGTTCATCTCGTGTTTTAGTCTCTGAACAAATGAGGCTGGTTATACTGGAGATTCAAAGAACACAAGTTTTTCTGGTGTTAGTTGTGGAGTTCAAATTTGAAACTTACTAAAAAATGTTGGTCACTTTTTGTTGAATTTTCCATGGCCTTTAAAGGGATTTTCCAGTTTAGGCTGCCATATAGCTTTCTTCGATTTCTTGGAAATTATATCTTCCTTCCTTCCTACCAGTCATGGGAATACATTTATGTTACTTTTTGTTCGTCCATCTTCTTATCATTTTAGGTCTGCTACGCCGTATAACTTGGGCACAGCCACCGCGCCTTGCGCGGTGGACACAACTAGTATATATATATATATGCAATGCACCGCACAATGTGCGTTGACTGTTGGCCATGTTTGAAATGCGTAGTAGAACAACTTAATTAAAAAATGAGATGATATCTTCGGATTTTAAAAATTGTTTAATTTGAAAAGAAAAATTAAGAAAATAACATAGCAGTTAGGGATGAAAGTCGGGTGGATCGAATTGGAATTAGCCTTTTCGAAAAAAATTCAAAAATTTTATGAAGTACAAAATCAATTCCAATTCCAGGTCCCTAAATTTCAAAATCTAAAAATTTATTCAAATTCCAATACGCCAAAGAGTTTCGGAATTGTGGAAATCACGTAAGTTTTAAAATTTCAAAACTTAGCGGAAATTTTCTAAAAGTTTCATAATTTTCCATGAAAAAAGAAAAATAAAACACATTATAATATCGAATAAAACTTCACAACAATTCAATACGTCAAAATGCTAAAACAAAACTTAAATCAAATTATTTTTTTGGTTAAAAAACTTAAAACAAGTATTATATGATATATATTATTTATAGGTGTATTTTTCGGAAAAAAAACCCGGAATTTTTTGGAATTAATTCGGAAATTAAATTGGATTGGAATCATAAATTCCAAATATTGTTTATATAATTTTAATTCCAGTTCCAAAATATCATTCGAAAATTAGAATTTCAGAAATCGGAATAAAAAAAATTATTCTGAAATAAAAACTTATCGAATCGAAACCGGCGGAAATTGCAATTTCTTTCGAACTTGCACCCCTAATAGCGTGCATGAAATAATTGGATGAAAATAATGCAGGAGTACTGTTCAAATATGACACGGAACCCGATGAGTTGTAAGAAGAATTGGGTGGGGTCTAATCTTGGATGAGAAAAGGCTGGAGAAAATAAGGGGTAAATAGGTCAGTTTGTTAAAAAACGACGCCGTTTGCATAGCCAATGGGCAATGGGGGAAGAGGATTAACTATTCCAAGTGACGGTATGTGATGTCAGAATTTAGAGGTGGGGCCGGCAGAAGCATGCTGGAGAGTAAAATCAGCAACAATAATAACGGAAAAGGGGAAATAATTTCAGTGGCCGTTTCTTGGGCAGAAATTAGATGAGACGTGGGCGTTTTAACATTAAATGGGCAGAAAATAAATGGTAAAGAAAATGAGTTTTTTAGTCCTGTAAGTTTACTAGTTCGAACTTTTAGTCCATCATATTTTAAAATTAAAATTTTAGTCCTGTAAGTTGTTCTTAGATTTATACATGGATGATGTTCTTGCTCGATTACGATCTAGGCTAAAGCTAACATATGAAGAGTTGGAAACCACACCTCCATTGGAAGCTTGGAAGAATATGGATCTCAATACCGATCTTCAATTGATAGGGCGTATCTTGTCCCGAAAGAAGATAAATCGGGACGCTTTGGAAATAACGATGCCTAAAGTTTGGAGTCCAGTTCATGGAACTTCAGTGGAGAAAATAGGAGAAGGAAGATTCATTTTCCACTTTAAACATAAGCTTGATCGTGCTAAGGCTTTGGAGGACGGACCATGGTGTTTTGATAAGAATTTGACCATGCTAGACAAGATAAGTGAGGATAAAACTCCAAAACAAATTAGTTTGGATTGGCGTGACTTCTTTGTTCATGTGTCGGGGTCGGGGCTACCGCTTCTTGAGCGGAATAGGGCTATGGCTACCCATATCGGAAACACACTGGGATTTTTGAAGATTAACGAATGCAAGGATGGCTTTCCGGTTTTTGGTGATGTGCTACGGATTAGAGTTTTGATTAATGTTACCAAGCCTTTACGCCGGCTAGTGAAACTAAGTAACACCAAAGGAGAAATTACGGAAGTGTCTCTCGAATATGAACGTCTCCCAAACTTCTGCTACTACTGTGGTTTAATGGTATACTCTTTCTCACCGGAGCAAAGGGATGATGAACCTCCATATGGAGATTGGCTCAAAGCTACTTCTCCGTCGCAGGCAACGATCCAGCAAGCAAATTAAAGCGTAATGAAAGTATAGAGGGCAACGAGGTTCCGATAGGTGATGGTGGAACCTTATCTCGAAGAGCAGCTGGCCTAGGAATTCCGACGATGGCGTGCATGGGATTGGAAGCTGATTTTTCGCCCCACAATCAAAGCCAATCAGTGATTTCGCATAAACGGGGGAATACTACAGTACAATGGCAGCGCAAAAAAAGTTTCAAGTTTGAGGCCATGTGGCTCAAATCAGAGGACTGCGAACGCATAATCAAAGAAAATTGGTTTCCTATTCTTGATCATCATGGTAGGGGTGCTCAGTGGAGTCACTTGGAAAGCTGCAAACTAGGCTTGTTAAGTTGGAGTCGAGAGTCATTCGGCGGTGTCCAAAAAAGGATCAAGGATCTTAAGGAGGGAATCGTGAAGTTGAAAAAACAGGTTCTTACGGCTGATGTGAGCTCTAAAATTAGTACTATGTCTAGTGAACTGGAGGAATTACTAGACAAACATGAGATGATGTGGAGACAACGCGCTAAAGTCCATTGGATGAGAGAAGGCGATAAAAATTCAAAAAATAAAATTCATGCTAAAGCCCCTTCCAGACGAAGAAAGAACACCATTGTGGGTCTGTACAATGCTAATGGAACATGGTGTGAGGAAAAAACAGGCCTTGAAAATATTGCTTACGAGCATTTTCAATCCATATTTACGTCAAATAATCCGTCAATGGCTGCGATGGATGAGGTCTTGGGAGCTCTTGAGCCTCGGGTCAGCGATGAAGTGAATGGGGTTTTAGGAGAGGCGTATACAATGGAGGAGGTTAAAAAAGTGCTCGATGGCATGCACCCCTTAAAATCTCCAGGCCCCGATGGTTCCCCTGTGGTTTTTTTATTAGCGTTTTTGGAGCATAATTGGCAGCGATGTTACAAATTGGGTCTTAAGGCTTCTAAATCATAAAGAATTTTCCAAGGCAGGTAATTTCACGCATATTGTTCTTATCCCAAAGTGTGCTAGCCCGGAAAGTATAACACAATTTCGCCCCATCAGCTTGAGTAACGTGGTTTACAAGATTGCCTCCAAAGCCATAGTGAACCGGTTGAAACCACATATGAATGATATTATTTCCGAGACTAAATCAGCTTTTGTTCCGGCACGCCTAATTTCTGATAATATTCTTATTGCATATGAGGTGGTTCATTATATGAAGAGGAGTAAAGCTGAACATATGGCCGTTAAATTGGATATGAGTAAAGCTCACGATAGAATCGAGTGGAATTTCCTTCGTCGAGTAATGCTCAGGCTTGGGTTCAAAAGCGAGTTCATTGAGTTGGTTATGCTATGTGTCTCCACGGTCACTTATTCTTTTGTTCTAAATGGAGTGTCTTTCGTACTTCTTAAACCAGAGAGGGGGTTACGTCAGGGTGACCCAATTTCACCCTATCTCTTTCTATTTTGTACGGAGGCATAAAGTTCTTTGATTAAAAGAGAAGAATATCGTGGAAATATTGCGGGTTTGTTGGTTTGCGCTCGAGCTCCCCGGGTATCTCACTTACTTTTTGCCAATGATACTATGATCTTTTGTAATTCTAATGTTACTTCGGCTAAATCTATTAAAA